TCTGGGGGTCCACAAACTGGCTCAGGTTCAGTCTGGGGGTCCACAAACTGACTCTGGTTCAGTCTGGGGGTCCACAAACTGACTCTGGTTCAGTCTGGGGGTCCACAAACTGACTCAGGTTCAGTCTGGGGGTCCACAGACTGACTCAGGTTCAGTCTGGGGGTCCACAAACTGGCTCAGGTTCAGTCTGGGGGTCCACAAACTGACTCAGGTTCAGTCTGGGGGTCCACAGACTGATTCTGGTTCAGTCTGGGGGTCCACAAACTGACTCTGGTTCAGTCTGGGGGTCCACAGACTGACTCAGGTTCAGTCTGGGGGTCCACAGACTGATTCTGGTTCAGTCTGGGGGTCCACAGACTGATTCTGGTTCAGTCTGGGGGTCCACAAACTGACTCTGGTTCAGTCTGGGGGTCCACAGACTGATTCTGGTTCAGTCTGGGGGTCCACAAACTGACTCAGGTTCAGTCTGGGGGTCCACAAACTGACTGTCTGGGGGTCCACAGACTGACTCAGGTCCAGTCTGGTCCGTCCCCCTCACCTTGTCCTGCAGCTCTTTGAGCATGAAGGCCACAGGCTGACCATGAAGGTTTCCTGATGGGGAGGTCATGGGGGTGTTGATGTCAGCGTGAGCATCGACCCAGATCAGACACAGGTCCGGACTCTGCTGGGCGTGTCCACTGACTGATCCRATGGCCAGGCTGGGAAACAGAAACATCTGGATCAGTTAAAGCTGAGCATGATGGTTCTGTGGATGGTTCTGTAGGACCTGCTGTGGAACCAGTACCTGTGATCTCCTCCCAACATGACGAAGGTGTGTCCGGCACCGACAGCCCGGCTGGCTGCACTGAACAGCATGTTGTTTGCAGAGCCCACACTGCGAGGGAACTTCACATCCATGTAGGGTTCATCCTGCTCCAGGTGCTGGAAGCTGAGATCTCCAAAGTCATGGACAGAGTAATCTGAGGAGACAAGAGGAGAAGTGTGAGGCAGTGGCTCCTCTGCTCCTGCAGGAGGCGCCATCCTGACGGTGCTGTGTGTCACGTGTGGTTTGAACAGATAATCCTGCCTGAACAGGGATTAGCCTGATCTTGGTGCCCGATGAGGAYGAGTCATCAAATACCAGAGGAACATCAGTGACGGAGCAGGTTCTGTTTGTCCCAGATCCTCCTGGGATCAGGTGAACAGGCTCAATGTTTGCAGAGTCAGAACTGCAAGGCTTCGAGGCATACTGTAGGCTGGCTGTAATCTGGCATATTTATAGTCCATCAAGGCCTAAAATGTGAGCTATGAGAGCAGTGTAGAGTTATCTGCTGATGTGAGGACAGGGAGGTCTGACACCAGACGGGACAGGAATAACCTCCACTTCACACACCAGGAGCATCTCCTGCAGGACACTTCCAACGTGTGCTCAAAGCATCAGTTTGGATCACAAAATAATTACTGTTCTATGAGCTCAAAGCTGGTTTAATGCATTTAAAAACACGTTTCATTAATTATATTTCTATTTCTACAGTCCAGGCACACTGACAGTGTTTAATGATCTGAAGCTTAGTAAGTGTTTGGTGTCAGATGTCAGGCTCAGGTCCAGCTGGATCTTTATCCATGCTTGGACTCCTCCTCTTTATCACACTCCAACTCCTCAGCTCATCCTGCTAGCTTTAGCATTAGCCCCGATGCTATCACCATTTTATACGTATTAGCTCAGCGCTACACATTCTCCTCTCATCACTGAGGTCCTC